TTTGGCGACGATTTGTGTGAAGTATTGTTGAGTTATCTGTCATTTGAGGACCGATTCCGGTGTGAATGTGTGTCCACTCAATGGCAACGATTGGCATTCAATACACAAAACCATTTAACTATTGATTATTACAAAATATACCGATCATTAGTAGTGTCTAAAAATAGCGCGATATTTGAAACAATTGTGAAAAAATTACTTAATCTTAAAAGTATGGAAATAAGAGAAAACGGATGGAATGTATTATCACATTTAGAAATGTGGACATCAATAGTTAACTATTGCCAAAATGTCACTGAATTGTCCTGGGACATTAGTTACACACCAAACGATAATCGTATTATTGACCAAATGTTTGCACATTTTGGCAAAACATTGAATACATTACACATTCATTTGCCCCTAAAAGGAGATATGGATTATTTTGCCACAAAACTACACACATGTTATAATTTGAAGAAATTGGATATTTCTGTCAGTATGAAGAAATACTGTACCGATTATACCGATTATGATCTATACTACAAACAATACGTAAGATTGATGACTTTGTTATTTTGTTCTCACCATGCCCATTTTAAACCTGGACTTGTGGTTAACATTTGGGGTCATAACAGTTGTGAAACGGTATTTACGTTTGACAAGCAATTAAACGCATTTATGCAAAACAATGCTTTATATTTGCGTGAATTGAATGTAAGAATTATTAATAAAAACGATACTAAAGATATATTTGAAAACATATCACAAATACATTGTTTAATTGACTTACGGCTTACTTTTGGTTGCATTGATTTGAATGGCTTTGAGACCGGGTTTTACAAAATCGGTACAAATTGTCGTAAACGTTTAAGCGTTTCTCTTTGCTATCACTCGTACTCATCAACACTAATGAATATTGTTATGAATACAATTGGCAATTATTTGCCCCAGGTGAGACGTGTGGAAATTCACGAGCGTTTTCCCTGCTTATGGCCCGATATAAGTGTATTGAATAAATGCCAACAAATCACACATTTCTCGCTCTTTTGTGACAATAAAAACTTTGTCAGCGATCGAGGATTTCTTCAATTATTCATAAAATATTTTATTTAAACCAAAACCAAACATGTTTAATTAATTTTTAAATGCTTACTAATATTTAATCTACTAATAAAGTCATTTTGTATTAAATATTGAATATTGTTATGAATACAATTGCAAATAATTTGCCCCAGGTGAAACGTGTGGAAATTCAAGGGCCAGTTCGCTTCAAGTGGCCCGATATAAGGCTATTAAGTAAATGCCAACAAATCACACATTTGGACATAGAATTTACCCAAACTTGAATCGTTAAGCATTGGTTTGTATGCGGAAAATGTGGACAAAACTCTGAATTCATTGTCGAAATTACAAAAACTTAAGACAATTTTTATTAAAATTTGCACAAATGCTGATAAAATAATATTTGACAAAAGGATTGTCAGTATTTGTTCAAAAATAGTAAGAAATAACGCTTACTATGCTCGATTTTTAAATTAGTAATTTGATATTAATTATTATTATTGTAATAAATAATTTATTTCATTTAAATTAGTAAACTTTTAAAAGTGTGCTTTAAATCAATATACGTACATTAATTGTTGGCCATATACTGTAATAATATAACGATAATTATTAAAATATTTATATTAAAATAAATATATTTCGTTCACTGCAAAGTGGATGGCGAGTAACAAACTCTGGTGTAGATGTGATTTTGAAAGTGTGTAAAATATATTTTCCCATGTCTATAATAAGTAGAATAAAATTAATTTTATTATGCTTACTAACATTTAATTTAAGTTACTAATAAAATTATTGTATTTTTATATTATTGGCAATCATTTATTGCTAAAAACTTTTATAAAATAATTTGTTAATGAAACACATTATTATAATATTTGTGTTCAGCACTCAATGCCTTTACAACACTATTACTGATCATTACTTTTGCCACACGTTTTGTATCTTTTGTTAAAAAAAACATGTAATTTTGTTATAAATTTATTTAAATCTATTTCTTTTTATAATGAATTAAATATAATTTAAGGTAAGATAATAACAATTTGCTGACTTTAATTGGTATATATAATCAAATATATAATAATTTTAAATTTTAACAAGAATTGCAAAATGGCCTCAAAGTATTTGTTGGACTCAATGGATAGATTTGGCGACGATTTGTGTGAAGTATTGTTGAGTTATCTGTCATTTGAGGACCGATTCCGGTGTGAATGTGTGTCCACTCAATGGCAACGATTGGCATTCAATACACAAAACAATTTATATATTGATTATGATTATGAACATCATTATAATGATCCCAAAACATACCAATCATTAATAATGTCTATAAATTATTCAATTTCTGATACGATTATAAGAAAATTACAAAACGTTAAACGACTTGAAATAGGGGCCGAAGGATGGCATGTATTATCACAGTTAAAAATGTTGACATCAATCGCTAACTATTGCCATAATATCACCGAATTATCATGTTACATTGATGCCATACCAAACGATATATGTATTATTGATCAAATGTTTGCACATTTTGGCAAAACCCTGAAAGCATTGCGCATATATTTGCCCCTAACAGCAGACATGGACTATTTTGCCACAAAACTACACGAATGCTATAATTTGAATAAATTTGACATTTTTGTTAGTACAGTGGAAACTAGATATGATGATCCCGATTATGATCTATACTACAATCAATACGTGAAATTGATGGCATCGTTGTTTTGTCCTCACCAAGCACATTTTAAACCAAGGCTTGTGGTTAATATTTTGGATTATCAGGTTTGCGAGCGGGCATTAAATTGGGACATGCAATTACAAACATTTATGCAAACCACGGCATTATATTTGAAATTCAAAGTATTTATTCAAAACTATGGCTTATATTTGCGTGAATTGAATGTAAGAATAATTAATGAAAACAAAACTAAAGTTAATGAGATATTTGACTGCATATCACAAATGCATTGTTTAATTGACTTAAAGCTTACGTATGAATGCAATGAATTGAGTGGCTTTGAGACCGGGTTTTACAAAATCGGTACGAATTGTCGTAAACTTAAGCGTTTAAGCGTTTCTCTTCATTATTACATGAACTCATCAACACTAAAAAACATGATGATAATAATTATAAAAACAATTGGCAATTATTTGCCCCAGGTAAAATGTGTGGAAATTCACTGGCCGTTTCCCTGCTTATTGCCTGATATAAGTGTATTGAATAAATGCCGACATATCACACATTTTTCAATCAGTTTTGGCCATCAAAGCGTTACCGATCGGGAATTTGATGATATTTGCAGTAATTTACCAAACCTTCAATCGTTAACAATTGGTATGTATGCGGAAAATGTGGACAAAATTTTGGACTCATTGTTGAAATTACAAAAACTTAAGACAATTTCTATTAAATTTCGCAAAACTGCCGATAAAATAGTATTTGACAAACAGATTGTCAGTATTTGTTCAAAAATAGTTAAAATTACCTCTTACTATGACCAGTATGATAGGTATAATAATGTTTAATGTAATAAATAATTTCTAATCAAATTCTAAACAAAAATATTGATAAAATTAATAATTACTAAATTTGTTTGTTTGTATTGTTATATATTATTTGTATATCCGGGCCGAACGATCCTATAAACCACATTATTCATATCAGAATAGTGGTTAAAAATATAATTATTAAACTATATTAATAAATAACATAAAAAGTAATATGTTTCTTAAATTATAAACAAAAAATGCATTTGCAAAAGCAAACCTGGTTAATAAATTTTTAGTCCTTACTAATATTTAATCTACTAATAAAGTTATTGTATTTTTGTATTATTGCTAATCACCTTTATAAAATAATCTGTTAATGAATCACATTATTATAATATTTGTGTTTAACCTAGCGATCAACTTCTTGGCTGACTTTTTATAAATGACATCTAAAACTCTTCTTAAAAATCAGTCTTAAGAGTCAGACTTAAAAAAAACTCTAGGAATGCCTCAACCAAACCTTTGAGCAACTTTTCGATTAAATAAAACTTAATTTACATGTTTAGTGTCCGAGTAATTAATTGTTAAGCGGAGGTCACTTTAGAAATCCTGCCAGTATGTCAAACGATTAACTTTTTAAATCCTTAACAAATTAGTGCATTTTTAGTTCAAACGGAGTGGCGCTTCAATCTACACACTATTTGTTCATCTGCACTGCAGTGGCTATTCAGTGGTGTTCACTCTAATATTGAGTGGCGGTATATAACACTTGTGGCTGACTTTTTAGCCAACATTTTGTGTTCAATGCAAACGCATATATAGTGTACTCAAACAGTGTACAAGATTATATTCACAATGCAATCAAAGGCTAAACAATAGATGTTAGGTTTGGCTCTCAATGCATTGATAATGAGTTCTCATTATTAGTTGTTTGTGGGCTAAGTGACAGCCATTTATAAACAAATGCATAACAAATCAAATATGAATTAAAGTGTTGTTATTTTTTAACTACAATAATTATAAATAATTTAAAACATTGTCAAATCCGATATCCTTAAATAATTAAGGATATCGGATTTGTATTTTATGATAAATTTATTGAATAAACTCAATATTATTGTTTATAATGGCAACGATTGGCATTCAATACACAAAACACTTTATCAATTTGTTGTCACAAATCATTAATAGTGTTTAAAAATAATGCGATATTTGAAACAATTGTGAAAAAATTACAAAACATAAAATGTCTGCAAATAGGAGACAACGGATGGCGTGTGTTATTACAGTTAGAAATGTTTACATCAATTGTTAACTATTGCCATAATGTCACTGAATTGACCTGGGACATTAGTTGCACACCAAACGATAATTGTTTTATTGACCAAATGTTTGCACATTTTGGCAAAACACTGAAAGCATTGAGCATATATTTGACCCTAACAATAGACCTAGATTATTTTGCCACAAAGCTACTCACATGTGTCAATTTAAAGAAATTGGACATTTCTATTAGTCCTAGGGTTAGGTATCACAATGATCTCAATCGTTATCTTAATTTGATGACAACGTTGTTTTGTTCACAAAATGACCAAGCCCATTTTAAACCAGGCCTTGTGGTTAATTTTTGCAATTGTTTGGGCTATGAAATGGTATTTATATTTGACAACCGATTTAAAGTATTTATGCAAAACTATGGTTTATATTTGCGTGAATTTACTGTAAAAATCAACGATCAAAACAAACCTAAAATTAAAGATATATTTGAATACATATCACAAATGCATTGTTTAATTGACTTTACGCTTACTTTGATTAGTACTTGTAATGAATTGAATGGCTTTGAGACCGAGTTTTATAAAATTGGTGCAATTGTCGTAAACTTAAGCGTTTAAGCGTTTCTCTGTACTATCACGAGTACTCATTAACACAACTGAACTTTATAAACACAATTATGCTAACAATTGGCAATTATATGCCCCAGGTGAAACGTGTAGAAATTTACGGGGCACACCGCTCCGAGTGGCCCCAAAGAAATGTAATGAATAAATGCAAACAAATCACACATTTTAAGATAGGTTTTGGTTATGAGAGCGTTTTGACTGATTTTGATTACATTTGCAGTGATTTACCAAACCTTCAATCGTTAAGCATTGGTATGTATGCGGAAAATATGGACAAAATTTTGAATTCATTGTCGAAATTACGAAAACTTAAAACAATTTATATTAAAATTCGCACAAATGCTGATAAAATACTATTTGATGAAAAGATTGTTAGTATTTATCCAAAATTAATCGGAACTAACGCTTACAATAATATTATTTAAATTTGCAACATGATATTAATTATGATTACTGTAATCAACCATTCCTTAATTTATTTGTGTTATATATTCTTAATTGTATTACTTTAATAATTATAATTATAACAATTTAACAGTTAATTCATTTGTCAACACATTGTAAAATTGATTTATTTGACGTAATATAATATAAATTTTTCTGAAATAATAGATTATTTTCTAATCAAACAAAAATGTTTGTGTTTTTATATTATTGCTAAATCACCTTTATAAAATAATCTGTTAATGAATAAGGCAACCGTTTGGATGCTTTTTTCATAGTTGTGAGCACAATAATGACTATTACAACTATTTGTTCATTTTAAAGCATTAGTTGTGTTATAATTCTCTGATTAATTCATGGTTTATATATAGTCTGCATATTATATGACTCATTTTTGGGTTGCTCTATTAATGAATCATATTATTAAAATATTTGTGTTTAAAACTCAATGCATTCACAAAATAATTTCTGAACATTACTTTTGCCACACGTTTTGTATCCTTTGTTAGAAAAACATGTGATTTTGATTGAAATTTATTTTTAATAGAATTAATTAAACATCACTTACGGTAAGATAATAATAATTTAATAAAATTAATTGATAAATAGATAATTATTATTAATTTCAATAAGAGTTGCAAAATGTGTTCAAAATATACGAAGGATTCAATGGATAGGTTTGGCGACGATTTGTGTGAAGTATTGTTAAATTATCTGTCATTTTGGGAACGATTCCGATATGAAAACGTGTGCACACAATGGCAACGATCAATATATAAATCACAAAACTATTTATCCATTGATTATCACAACACATATTACTCGTTAATAGTGTTTAAAAATAATGCGATATTTGAAACAATTGCGAAAAAATTACAAAACATAAAAAGTCTGATAATAGGAGACGACGGATGGATTGACGGATGGAATGTATTATTACAGTTTGAAATGTTGACATCAATAGTCAACAATTGCCATAATGTCACTAAATTGAGCTGGGACATTCATTGCACACTAAACGATAATCGTATTATTGACCAAATGTTTGCACATTTTGGCAAAACATTGAATTCATTACACATTCATTTGCCTCTAAAAGCAAATATGGATTATTTTGCCACAAAACTACACACATGTCTTAATTTAAAGAAATTGCAAATTGTTGTCACTAATAAGGAACACCTCCGAGTTGACCCCGATTATGACCTATACTACAAACAATACATCAAATTAATGACATCGTTGTTTTGCTCTCACCAAGCTCAGTTTAAACCTGGGCTTGTGGTTAATTATTGGGGTGGTATGGGTTATGAAGCGGTTGTATTTATGTTTGACAAACGATTCAACATATTTATGCAAAACTATGGCTTATATTTACGTGAATTGATTGTAAGAATAAGTGATGAAAACAAAACTAAAGTCAAAGATATATTTGAATACATATCACAAATGCATCGTTTAATTGACTTAACGCTTAACTATGATTGCAATGAATTGTATGGCTTTGAGACCGGTTTTAGCAAAATCGGTACCAATTGTCGTAAACTTAAGCGTTTAAGCGTTTCTCATTACTATCACTCGTACTCAGCAACACAAGCAAACATGATGAAAATTGTTATGAATACAATTGGCAATTATTTGCCCCAGGTGAGACGTGTGGAAATTTACGTGTCCTATCGCTGCGATTGGCCCGATATAAGTGTATTGAATAAATTCCAACAAATCACACATTTTACGATCAGTTTTGGCAATCAAAGCGATGTAAGCGATTGTGAATTTGATGATATTTGCAGTAATTTACCAAAACTTGAATCGTTAAGCATTGGTATGAATGCGGAAAATGTGGACAAAACTCTGGATTCATTGT